ACTCGAGAATTCTGTTCCAGGTTTATCAATCATTTTAGCTAATATTAATCGACATCGGCCTATGTTAAGCTGATTTTAGAGTTAATTTAGAGTTAGATCAGGATTAAAAAACATTTCTAGAGATTATGTGTGGATTTTCTTTTGTTAAAGCGCCATAAGCAGTTCACAGACAATTTTTCTTAATTGTGTCGTCATGATCGACAAAATTTGGCACAGAATTCTGTGTGCTTGTTCAGAGGTATTCCGTTAAAATCCGAAATTCAAGAATTACTGGCGACGCACAAATATTCAAGTAGACAATATGTATAAAATAAAATTAGTTAATCTTACTCCATCAAAAATATTAGTAGTAACAATACTAACTAATTCATTAATGAATTTCGTATTTTGTGTGCTATTCGGATTATACCAACCATGCATCGGATCTTGGGATTGTTTATTAAAGAATTTAGTTAAATTATCCCTATCAGTTGGTAACAAGATTGATAGAATGATCTATAAAAATCATAATTTGTTATTTTATATCTTTTTTTAATGATAGATTAATCTTTACCTACCTTAAATTTTAGATTATTTCTTGCCCTATAAATTAACAGTTGATTATATTTGTAAGATTGACTGTTAAAAATTTTCAATGGGTCACCACCAGTATCATTATTTTCGGCATTATTAACAAGGTCATTCGGGCCAAATGCTATATAAATATTAAATAACTTATTAAACTTAGTCATAATTAAATAAATAGTCTTAAGACTTTAATTTCGCATACCAATATAGTTTAAGTAATCAATTGATGGGTTGATATCAAAATCTACACCAGGTGTTAAATTAAGTTTATAAGCGGGATCATATCCAACAAGTATTTTTGGTTTAGTTGGTGATAGGTTGCATGAATCCTGACCCATCACCTCTTTTTTCAATATGAACATAAAAAAGGTATATAAAAAAAGCCATGTGAACTTATAGAATGGTAAAAAAGATTGAATTTTCATGTTTTTTATGTCAAGTTTTTCGAGTATGAAGTTAACAAAAAAAAAATACAACTAAAGGTATATAAGATCAAAATTCCAGTGTTATGAATTGGTATAAATGCGTAATAAATACATTCTTGAGAAAAAAAAAATATCACGTAGGTTTAACATCCTATATATATAATTCTTTGCTATTATCGTCACAGATGCACCAAACTTTCTGTGTATAGATGTAATGAAACACGAGGTAAATTGGTGCATAAGGATGAATGAAGGAATACTTTATAGTTCCTTAATGATGCCGAAAAAGACTGTAATTGTGATTTAACGCGTTAGCATAAAAATTCGATCAACAATATGATGTACCCTGACTTATATAATCTACATTTTATAAGATAAGTTGCGGTTTTGTATACCAATTTCAAACATTTGACCAATCAAATTCAGACATAGTTGCAATCAAACTTGTACATTCTAGCAGTCAAATTCGTACATCTTAGCAATCAAATTTTGACAACAATATGATTTCCCCAGCGTAACTACCAAAAAATCACGGGCACGTGATAATGATAAAAATTCCTAATTCGGTAAGATTAGGATTAGCATTGTATTATGATTAGGGTATATCGATATTAGTAAAATCGCTCAAGGAAATTTTTTCCTGATCGTGCAACGTTACACCTGATCTTGTAATCTCATTGGTTTGCACCACATCTTATCCAGGATCGCCAACAAAATTTTGCAGTCATGTGATATCGACAAAAATTCTTTAAGTTAGGGTAGGGTCTATGTTTTAATAGGATTTTTGGAATCCTAATAGCAAAATCACTCAAGGAAAACTTTTTGTTAATGCGCAGACGAACGCTTGTTTTGAACTTTCCTGATCGTGTTACGTTACACCAAATGGTGATTAACAATTGGATAATTTGTCGTGACTGCAAAGATCACTAGATCAGGTGAAATGCTTTTTTTTAAAAAACGATAACTGAAAATTTTCCACTTTCTGCGCTCTAATAAAAAAAATTCCTCGTGAAATTTTGGTATAGAGCAAGCATATTGTAATCTCTATCCAAATCTAACATGAAGTTTTAGTACACATATTAAAATTGGTTTGATTATTCGAAAAGATCCGATTGGTGTATATACGACGATCTTTCAGGGTCTCACCAGGGTAGCTATATTAAACCGTTTTAATATAGTTTCAATGTCGTACGTACCCATTTGCTTGTATAAAAAAAGGTATGCAATTATTTTGATTAGTTGAATTTGTAACATGTAACAGCTACTTACCATTTGTTAATTGTATTCTCTACTTATAATAATAAGTACTAGGAACATGGTTGTATAAATTTTAATAGTTTTTAAGCCATTTCTTTTGTTGTAAAAACTTGTACATTACTCAAAAATATCACCTTATAAGTAGAGATGAATATTTATAAAATTATTATATAATTTTAATGTAACAAAATTCAATAAAATATGTATTATATTTTTATCATGTGTAATACTAAGTGATATGTAGTATTAGTGATTTTTCACCTAATTATTATGAGAAGCAAACTAATTATTAAAATATTATAAAATATTAAGCTTCTGTCTAAGAATGGGAAAGATTCTTGCTTTTTGATTTTGATGAAACTTCATGAATGCATGCCACATTATGCTGCGATTTTAATTTTATTTTCAGTTTGAATGAACGCAAAAATTATAATGATATACTTTCGCTCATATATATACAGCAAAAATTTGTTCTAATTGATAAGATCGTTAAATTTAATATGAATATGATGACCAGATCCAAGCTCTAAGTTGCATCAATCCTACAAAAGTCAGGCCTCAAAATGATTCAAATAGGGTATAATTTAATTTTAAATGGTCCCTACTTTTTGTTATATAAACTTTGATTTCAGGATATTATGATTCTTAACAAAAGAACAAAAAACATAAACACAAATAACTATTACGTATCAATATTCATTAATAAAACAATTCATCATGAGAAAGTTTCTTTTGAGCGTGCTTCTTGTGGCTCTCCTCTTCATCCTTGTCGATACAGTCAACGTCAACCACAAAAAAAGACAAGTATTCCTAGGACAAGATGAAAAAAGACAAGTACTTCGAGGATCAGATGAAAAAAGACAAGTACTCCGAAGACCAGGTGAAAAAAGACAAGTACTCCGAGGACCAGGTGAAAAAAGACAAGCTGAAAAAGGACATGGTGAACCATGTAAGGAAGACTTCGAATGTCAATGTCCTTTTGTTT